AATAATTTCCAGCATTTTCCCTTGCCCACTTTACCTATAAAATTTTTTACCGTAGCTCTCTACGATCACTAGTTTCTGAGATACAGCCGCTTACCTCGCTTATTTGCCCACCCTGTACATGTTTTCAGGTACTACTGTGAATATTTTCAAACAATTCGGATTCAAATTGGCGGCTGTAGGTGATGGCAAGCAACGACACCTTTTTTTCAGAGGGTTTTGCAACCGGAAGGGTTCTTTATTGACGGATGGTCTTGGAACAAAAAATCTAAAATTTTCTGATATACAGGGTGTAACTTTGAGTGGGGGGTCATATTTATACAGAGGCTTCCTTTGACCTTTCGAAACGCAACACAATGGTTTATTATTTCAAATTCTGTTGTAAAAACTTAATTTTTATTTTAACCTTTGTTTTTTAGTAATTTTCATACCTCGCCACTGGACGAGCTATTGTAGTCTCAAATAACAGCGTGTTTTAGTCACAACGCATGCACAATGCTCTTTGGCGCTTGTTACTTTTATTGAGTATTTGCCACACAAACAGTACCTAACAAGTATCCTAACAAAAAAGCTCAAGCAGTAATCAATAATAGACCAGGGCGGATCTGTCGAAACATCCGACTTCTTGGATGTAAGAGGGGGTAAGCTAATTTTTGCTGGAATACCTTCAGTACAACTCACATAATAAAAGTGTAGGTCCCTAGATCTGGGGAGATCCGGAACATTTTCAAATTTGCAAAAATGTTTAAAAAATTAAAAAAAAAACTATTTTATCTGAGTTTTTTACTTATATCTTGGAACCTATGCATTTTGGAAGAATATTGAAGAGGAAAAAGGTTTTAGAATAGAACAAGGGTCGGCAACTGGCAGACCGCGGTCCAGGTCCGGACCGCGAAAGGTAAAATATTGGACAGCCAAAAATTTTTTGAAAGTATAAATTACTCAAATAAATTATTTAAAAAATGTTTTTTACGTTTAAGTGCCAATCTTATCATTTTTTTCTAGTATTTTACAATTGTGTGTGTGTTTTGACTTCTTAATAGTTAGTAAGCAGATTAAATTTGAGTCCAAATAAAAAAATAAGAAATGAATTTTTTTTCTGGACCTCGTTAAAAATTTTCAAAAGTATTCGGACCCCACCTAAAATTACTTGCCGACCCCTAGAATTTTGCACAACATCCTGTAAGTTAAAAATGTTTAAATTTTAAATGTATTACCGATGTTGCAAAATAACAATAATTGATGAAAAAAAGGCAAAATCAAGTTTTTGGATAATTTTTAAAAAAAAATTTTAATTGCTCCGAGGGTATTCTAATTTTGAAAAAAAAACCTTAGAGTATAATAAAACGACACCAAAATTCATTAAAATCGGTTAGATAGTTTTGGCAAACTAATTTTTTGAAAAAAATTTTGAAATAAAATTTTCGAATTTTCAAAATGTTGCACAGCCTCAAATAAAGATACTTGAAAATTTTTTCACATAGAAAAGACCCCTCAACCTTTCAATTGTTTTTGAAAAATTGAAATCAGTTTATTAGGATGGACACTGTAAATTTTTAAAGTTAACTCTTTTTTATTTTTAAACAATTAGATTACATTTATCAATTTGCAATTTAGTTTTTTCAAAAATTATAATTTTAAAGTACTCGGAGACGCTTCTTTAAAAAAAAAGTTAAATTATGTTTATTGGTTCTCGAGATATAAGCGGTCAAAGTTTATCAGCATTTACCGTTAATTTATAAAAAACAATTTAGCAATAATCTTTGACCCAGTGGCTTCGTTTTTCCGAGTCCTAAGCTGGAAAAAATTTTCATATCCATAAGTTATCGGCAACATAGATAAATCAGCGGAAAAGCTGTCGCTCGCACGCGCGAAAATGACTCAAAACACACATTTAAATAATTTTTGTTTAAACAAATTATTTTTTTTTTGGAAATTATTTTTTTTGTTAAATACAGATATAATTAAGAAAAAATAGTACTTTAAAATTATAATTTTTGAAAAAACTATATTCCAAATTGATAAATGTAATTGTTAAAAAAATAAAAAAAAGTGTTAACTTTAAAAATTTACTGTGACCATCCTAATCAACCAATTTCAATTTTTCAAAAACAATTTGAAGGTTTGAGCGGTCTTTTCAATGTGAAAAATTTTTCAGGTATCTAGATGCTTTATTTGAGGCTGTACATTTTAAAATTCGAAAAAATTTTTCAAAATTTTCAAAAAATTGTTTTGCGAAAACTATCGAACCGAGTTTAATGAAATTTGGGTGTTGTTTAATTATACTCTAAAGTTTTTTTTACCAAAATTAGAATGCCCTCAGAGCAATTAAAATATTTAAAAAACATTATCCAAAAAACTTGATTATTTTGCCTTTTTTTCATCAATTATTGCTATTTTATAACATCGCACACAGTATATTGTGCAAAATTCAATTCTAAAACTTGTTGCCTCTTCAATATTCTTCCAAAATGCATATGTTCCAAGATATAAGCAAAAAACTCAGATAAAATAGATATTTTTTTAAATTTTTCAAACATTTTTGTAATTTTGAAAATATTGTGTACCTCGCCCAGATCTGGGGATCAACACTTTTATTGACTGAAAAAATTTGCTTGCCCCCTCTCACATCCACCTCAAAATAGATCCGTTTGGAATTTAATAACGATGAAAAACATTCAAATTCAGTTAGATGTACTGTCCTCAACAACAACCGACTCCCTTCGCTTCGTCACTGTTGACGTTGGCTGGTACTGTAGATTGCCAACAATCTTGTTATAATTACATGAGTATTACAGTGGCTGTGTACACAAAAATTAAAGTGCATTTTAAAAAACTAATTATAACTTGACTATTTGATAAAAAAAAAGAATTTCAGATTCACATTCAGGGGAACATGCACCCTAAAAAACTAACCCTAATTTAAAGTTACTGTACTTATACTAAAAGCTAGGGAACATCATATGGAAATTCAAAAGTAAAATCGTAAAAAGATGAAAAATTTTGCGTTAACCACTTGACACTTTATCCCGAGTTTACTCGGTTTTCAATCTGCGATTTTTTTTGGCATCCCGAGATAACACATAAATACAAACATTTATTGTTTTGCCCTTAATATTTTGGATATGATTTGGTCTAATTTATAGTGTCCCGAGAAAACTCGTACCACTGCGTTACCAAGTACCCCCACCACCATTTTTATTTCTTAAAGTCATTACACGTGTTTTCGCATGTCGAGTGGCTGTTTAGCGTATTTCGCGTTTAGTACAGTCTAATCATGGCAAGCAGTATCAGTGACAAGATAGACAATTTTTCCTCCGATTCCGATGTAGAATCAGAATCTTCTGATTCTGAAGAATCTGTTGATGATGGACTCATAATGCTCATAAATGGTGCGAAATTGATGCCAATACATTTCCACCACCCTCTTTTCCCTTTCTGGGAATCCAGGAAGTAATTTTACTTCCGATCCAGATGGCAATTTGTACAGTTTCTTGAAGCAGTATTTACCATGGATATTATTGAAATAATAGTGACTGAAACAAATAGATTTGGTGACAATTATTTATGTGGAAAACCTCAAAACAATTCGCCTCAAAAATGGATTCCCATTACCTCAGATGAAATTATGGTTTTTCTTAGTATTGTGATTTTACAGAGCCTTGTAAAAAATGAATGCAACAATATTGGTCAAATAATCCATTGCTTACAACTCCAATATTTCCCCAAACTATGTCATGCAGGCGTTTTCACCAAATAAAACAATTTTTACACTTGAAATAATGACGCCTATAATCCTGAAACTCATCTTGCCCATAGTTATTTCTAAGCTTCTCCAGTGCTCTAAATTCAAACAAATCCCGGTCTATTTTTTTCAGGATATTCATACAAATACATGCTCTTTCACAGTTGCGGTTACAGATATAACACATTCCGATAACATTACACTGATTTTCATTTTCAACCTTTGCCAAAACGAAAAAGTTTTTGAACATTTACCAAAATTTTTTAAAGAATAATATTCAGTTGGCGTTTTGTTCTTCATGTGCATTTTTAAGAATTAATTTGTCATAATAAAATTAAATCGTAATGTTTTAATTTCGACGCAACAACTAATTCAGTTATGTATCACCAAGTGTTGGTAATAGTTAATAATAATAAATCTTTTACTGTAACGCGTGGTGGTAATAGTTTAAATAACTAGATGGATTTCACAGGGCCTAACGACACTTACAGTGTACGATAAATTCAATAAACAAAGAAATATAAATAAAAAATTTAGATAAATTTGAAGCGAATACACTGAAGATGAATTTTTCGAGACAAAACGTCTAAATCTGGTTCGGGCGGTACAGTATTTATACAGTATAGGGTCATGAACTTGCAAAAAATGTAATAAAATTTCCAGGGTTGTATTTAAAAAAATAAAGTTGATGATGATTCTGGAGAGACGAAACGTTACATAATATAAAAATTGATTATGCCATTCGAGACAGGGCAAAAAGTGGCCATGAGAAAGTGTTCTTCTTTTTTCAATATCACCTCAAACAAGGCTAACCTGAAAAAAAAACGGATTTCCAAAATTTCGTTTTTTTTCAAATATTTTGAAACTAATCATGTTAGCCTTGATTTTTTAGAGGCATAATGTTGTTCCCCTGATTACACAACTTTTCTCCCATTTCAGCTAGTTTGTATCTCTTACCGTTTCCGACATCCCTTTAGTGAAAAGCGAATTTGTAACAGCCTGTATGTATGGATAGACACATCTGAAGAAAAGGAAGATACCTCTAGTTAGTGCAAGTTTATTTTAGTAATAAGATAAATTTGCACATTTTCATTGAAATTCATTAATTTCTATGGAAATTACTTAAAACAATTTCTTTTTTTTTAATTGTAAATCCATTTTAAATTCTTCAATAAGTTCTTGAAAATACTATTTATTTAAACAATCTCAAACTTTATTCAACAAATTTAATATACAATATATAAAAATATATATATATGATTTACTAAGTATAATCCTAGATTGAAGTAATAAATAAGAAGGTTAAATAAGACGGCAGAAACGGCCTAAACATGAAACTTTAGAACCTAATTTGAAATCCTTTATAATCGGGTTTAGCTAAATTCTGCCAGTTTGTGAGTTCACAGTGATCGATCTGGCATCCAGGTGATCCTGTGTTAGATAGCCATACAACCCTGAAAACAAACAAAACAATGTATTAATTGTTCTGGTTATTTTATTTATAAACTACCCATGAAACATTAATTACAAACAGTTCAGAGCTGGCATTTATTCAGCACACATTTGATATTGGTCTTTATATTAGTCTATTAACTCAATATCACCAAAAGGAAAATAAAAATAACAAAGACATATGTAGGAAAAATATAAGATACATACAGTAATCGAAACTTATTGTTGATCGAACACAATTTTGGTAGATTTTAATAGATATTTTGTAAGTTTGTTCATTAAGCTGACACAGACAAAATGGGTGTACATAAGGAAACATAGACATAATCTATGAATATTAGAAACATATATATTCTCTTGAGGTACTTACATTTGTTCTATATTTGATCTCTGGCCCTGCAATTTTCCCTGTATCGTTCCTTTCTTCGTATTTTTTACCCACCCATTTATATTCAGTCCCTCAGACATTTCTTTGCAGTATTTTGTAAAGTAAACCCCTATAAAGATAATTCATTTATTAAACTACTTAACTGCATACATATACACATTTTATATTTGTCTGTTTTTGTTTATTTGTTTGTAATAAATAAACTTTGTTATAAAATCTTACCTTGAACTTTCCCAAACACTTCAAATTCCACAGACACCAAGGGTTCCCCGATACTCATGTCTTTTAAGGTGATGTGGTTGGTGTTAATAGGATATTTGAAATAAAAATAAACCAAAAGCAATCAATCACTTCACATCAATCAAGCAATTCTATTCGCAGTCTAATTGAAGACTGAGTGTTTTAGTTGCAATTAAGGTGTATTTTTAGCCACAAAAAACAAATTGGTGGTTGTGTAACGTGTAACTCATTTGTATACTCTGCAGATAAACATAGCTACTATTTTGGTTGCATTGATTCTTAGTATATTTACAATTTAACGTCACAAGGGCAAAATATGGCAATCCTTTCCATTTCTATAAAAATTATCAATTGTTATTTTAGTGATAATAACCCTTCGTTTGTATTTTGGTAATTATTTACAGGAAGAAAAAAAAATTAAAAAAAGGAGACATTTTATTCAATCAAAAAATACAATATATAAAAACATTCATCTAAAAGCACCTCATATTGTTAATATTACCTAAGTACAAAGCTTGTACTACAACTGTGCCTTAAGTACAATTTGCACTAATTGAAGAACTATAGGCATTATTAGAGGCAGGGTAAGAAGTTACTGGTTAATTTGTTAAATTTGAATACATCTTTCACTGATTTTGGTGGTTTTAAATGAGATGTAAATGACAAACATTTTAAATAAAAAACTTCTTGTAGTAAATATTTTTTTAAATAATAGAAGAGGTCTTAATCATCATTAAAAAAATTCCATCAGCAAATACCCAATAGTAATTTTTGTTCAAGACATTTAAGGATTGTAAATTAAATTGGTAAACAAGATATCAAACAGGAAGTAAACTATAAAAATATAAATATTTGCTGATAAAACGATCAATAAACACCTCAATATTTAAACATTATAAAATAGCATGTAATAATACGGATGGAAGATTTTTTTTTATTTAATTATTACATATAACTGACATATTTTTAAATTAATTTGAGTTACCAAAATTTCCAAGATAATGCCACAAATAAATAATTTCAGACAATATCTCTCCCTCATATTTTCTTAATATACCTACTTTTATCATTTTTATTAGATGAGATAATACTTTTATATGCTTACGTATCTTTCACAATTTCATATTTTAGCAGTCATTTAAAAAAAATATCAAATAAAAGAAAATACATATTTCACCAATTGGATTAAAGTCTGAATTATATAGAGACTAATTTAAAACTCCCTGATCACCAAAACCAGGTTATATGTATCATAATCAAATTAGATCGAGGCTTTAGGAACAACTGTACATTTCAGTTTACAATTATTTATAAAACCTTATCTACATAAATAATTGTGAAAGCTAACTACTTTATGTATTGTGTTAAATAAATTATATTTCTTATTAATTTAATTCCCCACTTTCCATGTGCCTTAATTAAATAAACATATGAATAAAAACAAATCATACAATTAAATATATTATCAAAAAATAATTTAACAATCAACAGAACAAAAATTCAATGATGAAGTGTTTATTTCAAAACTCTAAAATTTTTTTGGTGCGATTAGATTAATCTACACAGCAGCATATGATTCCAAGTTATTGGTTTTATAGAAATGTGTAAGGTATCTTACACAAGCTATCATTTTCTGATTATAGTTTTGCATGTCGTTGATGACGTTAGAATCTCTGTTGTGCCTGTCTAAGGCTAAAGTGTAAATCAGATGCCTTCTGTTTGGGGTAAATCGGGAAAGAACCTGTAATATTTGTTTTTTTTTAATTGATAATACATTCAATGTGAGAAAACGGTTTAGGAAATTATACTTAATATTCGTATATTAGCTAAAAGCTATTTTAAAGGTTTCAAGGTAATTAAAAAAATATATTAGTAAAATGTGGTTTAGATTAATTGGAAAGAAGTTTTGAATATATTTTGATCATCAGTTTAGGGATCAGTACCTTTATGGTAAAAAATTTTAGCTTACATTGAACAACTGTGTTCCTAGCCATCCATGATATTCTTCTAAAGTCTCACTGTAAGCAGTCTTTAAAAATCCGGTTAAATCCGGTGAGCAACGTTCACTATTTGTATCGTCTACAATACGTTGAAAGAAAGACGATAGGAAATGCAAAGCCCTAAAATATTATTTTTAATATATTACGATGTAAAAATATATATCTTATAAGTTCACCTTCTAAGCCACATTAGAGCATCTGTAGCTAAGCCTTGCCCACCCTGTTGCTCTTTTAGAATCATGTCCTCTAGGTATTCATTATTCTCAGTATCCTCCTCATATTTTTGGCTCAATTTCTGAAAAATATTAACAACAATCTTGATTTGCTTGGTATGAGTATGGATTTATAACAGAATTATATAAAAATTTATAAAAAAAATTTACGTACTCTTATGTTACCATTCATATCATAAGTAACTGGCGAGAAAACTTTTCCAAATCGGTCTAAAACAGTCCATTTTAAATACGGAATAAAGTAAGGTTATGTTTTTGTTGATTTTTTTTACCTACTAAGGTGACCGCTCCTGAAGCCGCGTCCAAAAATTCTTTGGTTTTAATTTTACCATCGACACTTGGAAACTGTGCAGGTAAGATGGAAAAAATCGTTTTCGTTTCTTCCTGCGGGATAGCTCCATTTGCCACTGACATTTTTCTAAAATTTTCTTTTGAACTGACAGTTTTCTAATGTTTGTCTTTGCCAAATTTGTACGTGGTTGTGCGCTCACTGAATTATTGAATATTATTCTCACTGAATTATATCTGTTGATACTAGTCGCTATATAATTATTGCCGTTTTAATTATCGCTTGTTTACATTATAAATTATGTTAGATTAATAAATCCCCTAATCTGGGCAGTGGCGGCGTGCACACATAGGCGTAGTTTAATGGAATCAAGAAATTTGAATTTATTTCAAAATTGTCAATACTTTCAAAGAAGTTGAACTTTTGACTCGATTAGAATAAGAAATTGTATTTATTTAAAAAACCTCAATTTAATTTATTTTAGATTGAAGGAAAATTCCTGTCAGGTTAACGAGATCTTCTTATCAGGTACTGGTGAGTTTTTTTTAATTATATCATTATTATTCTTTGACTATTTTATCTGAATTTTATTGTTTATTAAATTTTTTATTTTTGTTTAATAAAGTTGAATAAAATAACGATTTTATATTAGTTCGCCTGTTAAATATTTTTAAGTGAAAATAAAAGTCGGTATAATTGTCATTTTCTTAGTTTTATTAAAATAAATAAAAAATTGTAAGCGCTTCAAAATTATATTTGACGTTTTTATCCAAAATTTCATTGTCTATTTATAAACAACACGGCAGTTTCCATTTCTGTCTCGTTTGCTTCCCGGGTTGCATTGATTCGGTATGCTGAATAGAGATAGTCGGTCGGTGCCTTTTAAGCATTCCACTCGCAGGGTCGTTGCGTTGACGTCGAAAATTCCACCACCCTGTTTTACCGGTGCACAGGGACCATTCGGTTTGCCCAACTCGTAGCATTTGCCCTCATACCTGAAAATTTGAACATATGTAACATATTTTTCATTCAACATGTATGGTGATTTATTACCGAATAATATTCAATTAAATTTTATGGAAACGGCACAAAATCTGTTTATTTAATGCATTTGTGTTTGAATCGCGTGCCACTGTTATCAACTTTGAGACGTACTATACTGAATATATGTTATTACATAATTAAGCAACTCCCCTCTATCTCTTTAAAGACTGGTTCGTTCTAAAACTGATTTCTGACAGAAAATTAGTGGGGTTACATGTTACACTATTCCGTGAACATAAAAATAAGGAAATAATTCAAAAACTGTCGAGTATACTACTATTAACATTACATGCTGAAGTTGGAAAAATAAATAAAATTTAAAAATTAGTTAAAACGAAATTTAGAAATGGAACTTGTAAAATAATAATTTGACGTAATTTATGACGTAGGATACAGAATTTTAACAAAGAGTATGAACTTTTATAAACAACAAAAGAACGTTATTTTTGCTGTTTCTTAAAAATAATACGGATTCATTCTAACATGAAAAATAAGAAGACAGTGCTATGAGATTTTAGTTGAACGTCATGTTAACAGGTGGCGCGATTAAAACATAGTGTGTAGTACTCACGATAGTCCGCCAAATTCGACTCACTTTAATATTTTTTTTTGATTCCCAGTTAAATATTGATTTCATACGAAAATCAAGTCAAATTTTTTGTCAAATCATTTCATTTTATGGTAATATGTGAAATAGTGGTACCCCATTATGAAGGTATTTTTTAAAAATTTTCCGATTCTACTCACAACGCAAATCCGTCCTCGCAGGGATTTACAGCGCAGGCAGGCACAACTTCTCCCCTCTTTATTATCAAGTGTTTTCCCTTGTCGCATGGTCCTTGTCTGTAAGCTGCAAAACATCCGTCTTTTGCTGGGTAATAGATGTAACCTACAAGAACAAAAACTAATTGATAAAATTTGTTGAAAGGTGCACAATGCGAGAAATTACAATAACTTATATTTATTACTAGCCATTTGTAAATGTAGTGATTTCCATTTATTTATATTTTGAGATTTTTGTATGAGGTTGTTATAGAAGTTGGAAAAAAATAGATACAAACGTTTTTAGTGTTTTCTCAACTTTTTTTAGTCGAATACCCTATATATTTTTACACCATTAAAATCTACTTAAAATTGTCGTTACGATAATATCGAGGACAATATGTTCATATTGCAACAATAATTTTTAAAATATTCGTTAATTTATAACAAAAATTAACAGTTAACAATGTCTGCAATGATTTTAATAACGCCGATTTTATGTGAGCGCATATCAGTGTTGCCGTTTGTCACCTTTTTAACCAACTATGTATATGAAACCAACGGAGTGGCAGAGAGCAAAACTACAATGGAAAATAATTTTGTAAAATCAGTTTGCTTTTGTATAAGTTTGTCACCATATTGTTTTGTCAGTACGAACAAAACGCCGAACACTTCAAAACTTGAGTGATAAAAACTTAGTATTTGTTGTATGATTTATTAAATATTAACTACTATTAGTATGTGGATGGGCCCTATATTAGTAATATAACTTCAGCTTACTATTTGTAAGAGTGAGATATTTGCATTTGGTATTTAATTGCTATTAAATCCAGTATATTGTAGATTTATGATAGTTTTTTGGCACTGCTATCTATACTGCAGTGTAAGGCAACTATATAATTAAAGCCTGTATCAGGCAATGCAATTTAGTTGCAGCGACAAAATTGCGGGGATTTTGTTGCGAGGATAAAATTGCATGTTTATTATCTCACAATGGGACAGAATTGCTGCAATTTGTTTAGTTTGCAGTAGTGTTACCAACTATGCATTGTTTAACATGTAAAATTTCTTGTATGTATCTTGTAAACAATTATTTTTTATTCAAGCAAAACATTGCAGTGGATGAAAATTTAAAAGTAAATTCCTGTATAGCTTTAATAGTGGCTTCAACGGTGTTACTAACAACAACCATGATCAACAGCCAACAACAGCTAGGTTGGTAATAAACAAATCTTCATAAAAGTAACTAGAATCCCTGCAATTTTGTTGCACGGAATAGAGCATGTTCTAATTCATGCAATTCAGTTGCCGGGACAGAATTGCATACAGCATAGTCTGATAAGAAAAATTTCATGGATTCAATCGCGGCAACCAAATCCCTGCAACAAAATTGCATTGTCTGATACAGACTTAATGAAAATCGTAATTTTATCAAGTTCTACCTTCGTCACAGGGGAATGATCTCTTATCTCTACCTCTGTCCGTAAGTAGGTACTTAAGTTAACATATATTATTGCGAAAAATAAGTATTTTTATTTTATATAACAATTTCTACAGAATTTGATATAGAATTTCACCTAAGGCTATTTCCCTACTGTAAGTAAAAATGGTTTGTTTTAAAATAATAGTTTTTACCGTTTTATAAAATATGCATGTAAAAAATAAATACCTAAAAGCATTTATCAATCCGATATATTTTAAATTTTTAATAATTCACTTTTTTTGAAGCACTGTGTGTTTGTCATTCTCAATAAAATGACCTATGACATTGACCTACTTTATGTAAACAACAGGGCTCAAGATAAAAAAAAACAGTGAAAAAGAATGGCCGAATTTTATTACATTTATTTTAGTCTGCAGTGTTTATATGTCTTTATTGTTAAAATTATGTGTGATATTATGAAAAGCATGTGTGCTAATCAAGAAAGACTTGAGAATAGAACAGTAGAACGCTCGGGTATGCGTTCGCTATTATCTCGCGCGGTTGAGTTACACTAGTCTGTCCAGGGGCGGGGTGAGAAAATTACGAAAAAAGTTTAAAAAAAAATTCAATTTCACGGCTGATTTTGAGAAAATAAATTTATGACATGTATTTCTAAAGATCAAAGATAGCCTCGGCCCTTTCAAAGTTACATCCTCTGTAAAAACTCGATCCCTTAACAACATATGATACCTAACATTTCTTTCTAACATATTACAGTACATTCTTGTAGCCATTGACCTGTCAAACTGCGATTCACTGTAATCCTAAGAAAGCGATCCATCGAAACATGAAATATACATATTCCATTTAAAAGTCTTTGTTTCTACACCTTTTGAGATTCATTTGATTATTTTAAAAAGCCCAAAATTAGGATAGGCAACTTGATTGCAATTTATTATAATACTTTATTTGTATATATTTTTTCTGATTTTTCTAATAATTTCTCTATATCGACGCTTTAGTACGAAAACATGCTATCTCAGATTTCAGTTGGAAAACATGCTATCTCAAATTTCAGTTGGAAAACATGCTATCTCAAATTAAGCTTGGAAAACATGCTAACTCAGATTTTTAGGTAAAAACATGCTATCTCAGTGTGACTAGAAATTTAAGTTGGCACATTGAATGATTGAAACCGTGCATTTAAAATAAACTTATATAATATATTTTTAAAAAAGTAAGGAATGTCTATGTTCAGGTACATTGTTTATTTTATTTTTTTTATTCAACATTTTTCAATTAATTTTGTTAAGTTACTGTTATAAAAGACAAAATTGTTAATTAAAAAAATAGAATAATATGCTGCAACATACTCGATATTTTTTGAAATAACAAATTATAAAAAAAATAGTGTATACCTTTATATATAAAAATGTTTGTTATTACTAAAACTTATTCAATTTTTTTCATACAAGTTTGCTTTAATATCAAAATTAATAGCGTACTCTTATCTGATTTATAGTTGCTACTCTTGATACACTTATTTTTCTTTTTCATCATATCTGGGATGCACAATTTATTCTGAAAATAATTTTGTATGCCTAATGCAGACTAAGGAGACTGCAATAAAAAGAATTATATAGTGGACCAGTAGGCCCCAAACTCCGGGTCCGAATCGTTCTTACTGCACCTCAATAAAAACAAGGTAGCCGCGTCCTTGCAGACTTTGGAAATGAAATGCAGGTATACGACACTTTTATTACCGGTACTTTATGATCTGCTGATGATAAACATTGTGCATGGGGAACCGCGGAAATGTGCACGTGCAAATTATATGCACCCGTCGTCGTCGCATCGATATATGTATACATATCATTCAACTTTATACATTATATTTATATTCTGGTTATTATTATTAACAAAAGTAAGAGTAGTGACTATAAATCAGGTAAGAGTGCGCTATTAATTTTTATATCAAAGCAAACTTGTATGAATAAAAATCGAATAATTTTTAGTAATATCAAACATTTTTATATATTAAGGTATACACTATTTTTTTTATAATTTGTTATTTCAAAAAACGTCGAGTAATGTACGTGTTGCAGCATACTGCATATTATCATATTTTTAAATTAACAATTTTGTCGTTTATAACAGTCACTTAACAAAATTAATTAAAATATGTTGAATAAAAAAAATAAAATAAACAGTGTACCTGAACATAAACATTCCTTACTTTTTTAAAAATATATTATATATTTCTAGTCACACTGAGGTAGTATGTTTTTACTTAAAGATCTGAGTTAGCATGTTTTCCAACTAAAATTTGAGTTAGCATGTTTTCGTACTAAAGCGTCAATATAGACGTTAAAATATAAACGAAAATTCAGTACTTACCTAAACCACAATCACAAATCCAGTCGTGATCCTGATCTCCTGGATATAATAGTTGATTCTCTGGACATTTTTCCGGGGCATATAGCGGTACTCTTTTCTTAAAAAAAATAATAATAATTCAAAAGCAGCTAAACATAAGTAATTTTTCTATTAAGTGTGAACAGAGCTGTCGAAAGAAATTTTCGGACCCCTGACAAATGTGTGGTTTAAGTTATTTTCTAACTTTTTATACATTTAAATTGAAACAATTTCTTTATATAAAAATAAACGTACTATATATTACAAACTCTGAAGAATAATCCTTTTTAGCATTTAATTTCACATAATATGAGTTTGGTGAAATTGTGGAAGTGAAATATTAAAATAGTTGCCATTTGGGGAAGTTATTAAAGATTTTCTCAATTTTTAGTAGGCCCTAATAACTATATCTAATGTGCCTAACCGATAAGTGTACCAATTCACTATTTTCCGTAACAAGTTATTAATTGTCCGTACGATATTTGTTGAGATAGAAGGCCCTTGCGTCACTTTTTTGGAATTAGCCGCATTCGATACCCAAGGTAGAAAAACAGTGAAAATTTTCAAGGCACGCCTATGCCGCGGTAACTTGTAGTAGTTCCGATGATTTTCTTGGATTCCATGTTAATTAACAAATATTGTACGGACTGTAGATGGTGTGTTGTATTTCCTATTTTAAGCAAGAGATTGTACTTCAATGAATTTTATACAGTTTTAATACTTACTTCTGTATGTTCACTGTCCAGTCTTTGGGTAGGTAGCTCAGGAAATTCTATTTGACAATAAGTTACTGCCAAAATGGCTGGTAGTACCAAAAGATACCTCCCCATTTTATATCAAAGCTAAAATAAAAAATGACTCTTTTGTTGTTGTTTAAACGTCGTAAGGTTATTTATTCAAAATAGAAAAGAATACACGCACTACAGAATATATTAATCTTTTCTAATAGAATTCTCCGGAAATATTCTACAAATCAACAATAATTTCATACATGTATTTCTGACTTTTAATCAAACGATACGCCAGTAAACATTTTAACAATGATCTTGAACTGTCAGGGAAATCCCTGACTTATAATTTATAATAATTATTTATGAATAAGTATTTGATAGATGTACAAATAAATAGATTCATACTTTGACTTACAAACTTACGTACTCACCAGGTCAATTACAACCAGTTTTGTTTCTTGTCCTTTCCTAATATTATCAAATCCGGACTGCATTAATAAAGAAAGATAATGACTGGGAGGTGTTTAGTTATTTCGTGATAGATAGTAACGTTGAACTTGCCACTCTTGCCAGCTACGGCAGAAACTATTCATCCAAGTGGATCAGAACACGTTTTAATTCGCTCTGCGGTTACATTCACATGCCTGGTCAGTTCTGCTTATTGACTTCGGATCTACCGTGGTAGTTCGGTAAGTAATGAGGTGTATTTTTTATATAGATTTTTAAGAATTTTGGACACGTGAAAATGTTAGAATCGACTGTAACTTCATTGTCTTTGAAGATATCGAAAAAGTAAAATATTAATATTTTTAATACCTATTGACAAACACTATTATATACGAAGAAACATTTTTGGAACCTCTGACTCAATCAATAGCTCGTCTGCTCACGAAAAGGTCGTTTTATTTAAAGAAAATTTGTCTCTTGAGAAAATCGCCTACAGAAAGCCATTCTTGAGAAAAATGGCATTATTTACAGCAGGTCTGTGCGTTTCGGTTTGCGTGGCAGTGTCACGGATTTATAACTTTGAGATCAGTAGGCGTTGAAAACAAGATGTTGATTGCTGTGGCTATCGGGTAATGTCAATATTGTCGTGTTTCTTTAGGATTCTCATCACTTCACACATGTAAATTATGAAAATTTACAACTCCGTTCCTTGTAAAACAAGATTCGTCGGTACAAAACAATTTTTTAAGCAAATTATTATCTTCTGAGCCAGCGGCAAAACTGTATACGCGCGTTGGGATGAAATGACCGAAGAATTTGCTTTTTTAAAGTTTTGTGAACATTAGTTTTACATACATTTAGTTATATTGATACATTGCAGACACTTCATAATTTGCATGTATGGAGTGATGAGAATCCTAAGGAAACACGACAGTAATGACATTACCTGATAGCCACAGCAATCAACATTTTGTTTTGATGGCCTACTGAACTCAAAGGTTTAAACCCGTGACAGTGCTACGCAAACCGAAACGCACTGACCTGCAAATAATGTTATTTTTCTCAAGAATGGCTTTCTGCACACGATTTTCTGAAGGGACAATATTTCTTCTAAATAAAACGACCTTTTCAATGTAGCTGCCCGTTTTAAAAAAATACGACCACTGCAAAAGTTTTAACCGTTAAAAAGGAGAGCTAACCGGAGAAAACTATCACCCAGTATATCGATTTGACTAAAGTTTTAAGAAATAATACGCCATAATAGTCCAAATAAATGTGCCAAATTTTAACGCGATCGGTGAAAGGGTTATGGAGTTATTAATTAAATTAGTTTTATTTTTATTTATCGTCGTGAATATGCAATCAAACGTCGTCGGTGAAATTTGCGGACACCCTGTATAAATTTAGCTAGCCATCCCACCTAGAAATATTTTTTTTGCGATTCTGATTGTGCCAGAATTTGCTGTAAACAAATGACGAAAAACATTATTTTTTCGTGCTTATATTTCAGGCGCCTAAATTCAAAACCCGACAAGTCCATTGAAATAAATTTTAGAGACATGACAAAAAACTGATCTAGTTTTTATCGTTTCCGTTATAAATAAACGAATCATGGCATTAGTTTCAGTAGATATGTTACAAACCAAGAATATGTTTTAAAAAAATCCATGACCACCCATTTAATAATTATTTGAGGTCCAATTTTGGACATGTCGAGATTTGCATGTTAACTTTAGTGACATGTCGTGTTTTGAACTAAAATTCTAGTTCTGAAAAGTTAAAAAAAATAGTAAAAATACACTGAACGTTATTTATTAAAGAAAAAGTAACACATTAAACATTAAAATTTAAATTTTCTTCTAAACAAAAATTTTCGGGGTTTTGAGAATCCTTTTCAGCTCCTGCTGAAATTTGCGATACAATTAGGCGGGTATTTTCCACTGGTGTGGATCTTTCAAAAGCATTTTTGAAAAATTAAAGGCTTTCCTCATCTTGCCAATCTATTACAAAAAGTAATTTACTTATGCTGGTTTGGTTGTCTCTTTTAATAGATACGCCAATATCAGCTACTTATACTTGGAGTGATCCTTAATTTCTTTCCCTTTTTTAATAAAGTTTGATCGATCCCAGTGTCATTCTTATAAAAAATTTCACCCCTTACTAAAATGCTATTATTTTGTGTCTTTGTCATTATTCGCTTAGACATCTGAAATTTGAAATGCCATTGAGCGGGTTGCTTCATGACCCTATGAATTTCCGTTCTTCAGTCCAGTATTGGTACATCTACTCCAAGTTTGTAGACAGTCCCCCATTTTTCTAAAATTTGCATATACTGCTCTGGACTTATAATTTCAGGTATCATTTTAAATGAAAACAAAACAGCATGTCATATAATGGGGAAAACATGTGACCAATGCCTAGGCTTCTTATTGGTTGACATGGACATGTCGGTTTCTGTAAACAAAATCTATATGGACGTGTCGGTTTTTGCATTTAAGCCTAATTTTTAAGGCGGAATTTACTATGTTAGATGTCGGAGTTTGTACAAAAGAGGCATCAATATGTGTAGGCACCTTGAAGACGATAGCAATGGTGTATAAAAGTCAAATTGAGAATTTATGTGACTTGTCGGGTTTTGAATTTAGGCGCCTGATTAAAAAAAAATAGGGGCTGCTAACTTTTTGATAATAAATGAGGCGATTTTTAGAAAAGTCCTAAACGCCTTAGTTTGCGATATACAGGAATTTTTCAAAAATATTACAAATTTTTCAAAAGATTTGATGTTAATAAAACTTGAGCTGGTGGAGAGAGCACACGGTGTGCTTGAAGGCTTAAAAAGTTTGACTAATTGTAAAATGGATCCAAAATCTGCTAACGCAGAAGTTTCTATATCGTTTAGACATCAAAAATCGGTTGAATTCAAAATCTTAGCTGTTCCCTTTCGCGAGTTATGCGCATTCTTAAATTTTTACATATCAACTGTGCGCTATATTATACATAGATAATTACAATAAGTACTGTTTAATCATACATATTTAGGAACATAGATTAGCATAGTAATGATAATTTAGAATTATAAGTCTAGCGAAGACAATTCTATTACTGCTTTTAACAGCTGTGATGAATATGATACGTGATGTATACTTGATACCTTGTAACGTGCCCAGAATTTCAAAAAATCACGATGTATGGATTCCCCGCTTTGCTCTGACTAATACGACCAATACCCTAATCCATTATTTTTTTTCTATGTAATTTTAAATTTTCTTTTATGTGATTAAGAATTATGTGAATCTTTCAGAAAGTTTATCGATACTTTTCAAAGCCTTATCTAATTCGTTTATGTAAGCATCAGGTGAGAGTCCAACTTTTCCAGTAATAAAACAACAATCAACTAATTTATTCATAGCTTTATAAGCATTGACAAAGGGTATCATTTTGAAAGTACCTACCTTTTCATATATTTCTGAATCTTCTAGTTTGTCAGCTTCTTTCAATAGCGTTCTATACGCATTCCCTACAAACGCGTCTCTGTGGTAGTTTTTTGAAATAAGAGTTAGCTTTTTCGGCCACAATAAAGCTTTCTCCTTACCCCTGCTTCTCTTGCAGGTAAAGAGGATCCTCTTGTAGGTAAACCAGTCTTCAAGCACACCGTTAGCAGGAGATATATTTACTAAAACTCCCAAACTTTTGAGGCCACCGAGTATTTCCTAAATTCGATCAGTCCATTCTTAATAGAGTTTGTCGAAATCGTAAAAAATATTTAAATTTGCAGTGTAGTTTTAATTGTGTACAGGGTGGGCAAATAAGCGAGGTAAGCGGCTGTATCTCAGAAACTAGTGATCGTAGAGAGCTACGGTAAAAAAATTTATAGGTAAAGTGGGCAAGGGAAAATGCTGGAAATTATTTTCAAGTTTCCTAGATGGCCGCCAGTGGGCGTTTCCACCATATTGAATTACATAAAGTTACGTTTCTCACGATTTTCCCCAATGAATGTAACAAAAAAGTATTTGCGTTTTAATGTTAACTTAAAGTCGAACATTTTTTGTAAAAACAATTTTTCTCTATCTTTCGAAATAAAGTGGTGGGGGGTATTTGAATGTTGTTTGAAATAAATGCCTGTAACTTCGAAACGGCTTAATGGATTTGGATAAATTTGGTATCATTGAAAAGAGCATTTCTTGGGCTTTTAGGTTTCTCGTAATCATGACAGTTGCGACCTACACGGCCGCCGATAGAGGGCGTTATTCGATATTATAACCAAAATATTGGATTTTCTCAAAAAATTTAAATGCGATGATATGACTTTTTTTAGACTAGAAAATAGACAAATGACCAACCAATAAGCCTGCGCAAACCGCATCTTAATATCTTTTTCCTAACTCAAATTATTAAAAAAAATACTAAACCAGGAAAATTCATATATCCCCATTTAAAAATGCATCGGTTGCTTTCGATAAGAAGGCAAGTAGTAGGCCATGGAAATAAAAGACAAACTCCTCTCTAAAATATTCACAAGAAATGTCAGTTTATTTAGTGCTGTGATTTTAAGTCGCACGTTTTCGTATTTATAAGCGATTTTCCTTTTAAATAAAGTTGTGGTCCTGAAAAGGACCGATTTTGAAAAAAGATTAATGCCTTCTGTGTTCAAATTGCCTTCCGTCATATTCCACACATTGTTCCAGTCTTTCTTGAGTCGACAGAACCGCAGCCTCGATTTCTACCGCTGATAGTTGACGAATTGAGTTTCGAATTCTGTTTTCCATATCCATTCGTGTTGTTGGTGGAGTTTGAAAAACAATGTCTTTTAAGCGTCCCCACAAGTAAAAATCAAGACATGTCAAGTCCGGAGATCTTGCCGGCCAAGGAAATAGGCTTCCCCTTCCTATCCAGCGTTCTCGAAAGGTCCCGTTAATATGGTTTCGGACATTAATTGAATAATGTGCCGGACAACCATCTAATTGCAGAAACATAGTTCTCCTAGTTTCGAGTGGCACATCTTCCAACAAAATTGGCAAGTCGTTGATCAAAAACTCTAAGAAGCGGTTACCAGTTAAAGCTTGATCAAAAAAATAAGGTCCAATAATTCTGTCCCCAATGATACCGCACCACACATTTAGGCTCCAGCGTCCCTGGTGCTGCACTTCTCTTAACCAATGCGGATTTTCAGCGGACCAATAATGCATATTATGA